TCTCCAACCTGTCCAGATCTGCCTGGATTCATTCCCTTCCCATTAGTGTGTTTACTTTACCCCATAACTTGGTGTCATCTATGAATTTGGACAGAGTGCTCTTCATGCCCTCATCTAAGTCACTGATGAAGATATTGAATAGCACTGGTCCAAGGATCAAGCCTTGGGGAACTCCACTGCCCACATCTTTCCAGGTTGATGCCAACCCATCCACCATCACTCTCTGGGTGCATCCCATTAGCCAATTTGCCATGCAGCTGACCATGTAATCATCTATGTCACAGCCGCAGTTTATTTATGAGAATAGGTTGCGATACCATATCAAAGACTTTCTTAAAATCCAGGTAGATGACATCTACCACATCCCCTGCATCTAAGCACTTTGTGACCTGCTCACAAAAAGAAACAAGGTTAGTCAGGCAGGGTCTACCTGCTATGAACCCGTACTAGTTGACCTTCAGCATTACTTTTCCTGCTGGACTCCCACAAATGTTATCCTTAATAATTTTTTCAAAGGATTTCCCAAGGATAGACATAAAGCTAATTGGCCTATAGTTACCCAGATCTTTCTTCCTTCCCTTCTTGAAAATAGGGACCACATTGGCCCTTTTCCAGTCCTCTGGGACATGACTGGAGCACCATGAGTGCTCAAACAGCCGTGCCCGTGGCTCTGCTATGACACTGGCCAATTTCTTCAGCACCCTTGGATGAAGATCATCTGGGCCTGCTGCCTTAAACACATCCAGCCCCTCCAAGTGTCCCTTCACTAAGTCAGCGCTAACAGTTGTTGGGCTGGTTTCCCTCCTATGCTTGTCTATAATCCAATTGGGAGATTTGTCTTGATTTGTGTTCAGGAATACAGAAGCAAAAAACTCATTGAAGAGCTCAGCTTTGTCCCTCCTATCTGACACCAGTTGCTCTAGTATTCTCTGTAGGGGCCTTATGTTACCCTGCACCTTCTTTTTGCTCTCTACATACCTGTGGGACTTTTTGCTGTCTTTATTTTTGTTGCCAGCCTAAGTTCCATTGCAGCTTTGGCCTTTCTAACTCACTCCCTGCAAGTGCGTGCCAGGGAGGTATACTCCTGCTTGGTACATACCCTCTGCTTCCACAGACTGTATGCCTCTTTTTTTGCTCCTAGGCTTTCCTGGATTTCCATGTTCAGCCAAGTGGGTTTCTTGGCCCCTTTTCCCCCTTGGATGTGTAATGGGATTGTCTCCTTCTGCACCTGCAGGATCTCTCCCTTTAGGAACAACCACCCTCTCTGGACTCCCATCTCACCAATGCCCCTGATCATCAGTGCTTCACTAATTAATCTTCTGAGCATATTGAAGCTGGCCTTTCTGAAGTCTAGTACTTCTGCCCTATTGGTTATCTTTCCCACCCTTCTCTGGATAGCAAATCCAATCAATTGGTGGTCACTATCCCCGAAGTTACTTTGTATCTGCAGATGCCCCACTGGGTCATCCCCTGTAGCCAGGTCCAGTAAGGCATTTCCCCTAGTGGGACTGTATACCTCCTGTGTTAGGTGAAGGTTGGTTATTAGAAAGAACATTGCAATTCTGAGTATGGTGAAGCCTAGAGAAGCTGTCAAATTACTATCACTGAGAGTTTTTACATGTAGGCAAGAAAAATATTTGTCCAGGCTGGTATAGTCAGGGATGGTCCCTCCTTGAACAGCAGTGTTGGACTAGATGCCCTCCTCAAGTCCCTTCCAGCCCCAAATTGCTATAATCCTATGAATATAGAAGGAAATGGTGGGTTTATTATAGAACCAAGTAATCTGGAATCATAGAGACTAGGGCTGCGCGAGGCTTCAGACAGTGCTTTGGATCCGGAGAGGCTTTGGATGCTGAAGCATCCAAAACAGTATGTCTGGATCAAAGCTCTGGCTTCATTGGGCTTTCTGAGGTGGTTTGGAGCTTGTGAAGCACTTTGGAAAATCTTTGGAGCCGCTTCGGAGATCCAGCCATAGGGTATAATGGGGAATCAATGAAATATCTATAACTTTGTTGATTTTTGTCTGATTTGGATGAAACTTGCAGGAATGGTAGCCTATGCTGAGAGCATGAAGACTGACATGTTTCAAGATCAGTGGAGGGATTTGGGGGGAACTGTACCCCAAATTCTTGAAAGCAAAACTCATGTCACGTCTATGTGTTACACCACAGGGGGGTGAAAATTGCAGAGGTGGTAGTCCCAAATAAGGCCACAAAGCCTGAAAAGTTTCAAGAAGATCAGTGCAGGGGTTTGGGGGGAACTGCACCTCAAGCTGCTAACAGGCAAAACTCATGACATAGATGACCCTGTGTGTGTTAGGATGCAGCAGGCTGAAAACTGCAGGGGTGGTGTCTCCTGCTGAGGCCACGAAGCCTGCCAGCTGTCAAGGAGATCCGTGCAGGGGGAGTCTGGCTTCTGGGGCCCTGCACCTCTGGCTGCTGACAGGCAAAACTAGTTACATGGGTGCTTGTGCAACTGACTGTGTCTGTCTTGGGGGCAGTTGATTGCCTGTACTGATTATTTCCTTCCTTAGTTTGTGGTTTTCTAGGGGTTAATCCATGCTCGTTAACTCGTTATGTAGTAGCTAGGTCCTGTGTATTGAGCTGGTCCCTTAGTGAATCATGATTAATTGGTAACTTGTAACACAGTAGCTTAGCAGCCAGGCCTGCAATAGTCCTCCCCAGCCCCACGCCCCGAGACTGACAGTTGCACAAGCATGCATGACACGAGTTTTGCCTGTCAGCAAATAGAGATGCAGGGCCCCAGAACCCAGAAGTCCTGCACTGATCTCCTCGACAGCTGGCAGGCTTCATGGCCACAGCAGGGGCCACCATCCCTTCAGCTTTCACCCTGCTGTGCCTTACCACACGAAGTGTCACCCATCGCATGCGTTTTGCTTGTCTGCAGCTTGAGGGGCAGTTCCCCCCAAGCCCCTGCACCTATCACCTTGACACTTGGCAGGCTTTGTGGCCTCATCAAGGGCTACCACCCCTACAGTTTTCACATCCCTGTGGCATAACATATACATGTGACAGGAGTTTTGCTTTCAAGAATTTGGGGTGCAGTTCCCCTCAAACCCCTGCACTGAACTTCCTGAAACTTGGCAGACTTCATGTTCTTAGTAGCAGCTACCATTCCTGCAAAAACCCAACAAAGTTATAGATATTTCATTGATTTCCCCATTATACTCTATGGCCAGATCTCCAAGGTGGCTCCAAAACTTCGGAGCCACTTTGGCCGGATTGAAGCAGGAACCCAGTCTGAAGCCCCGGATCAGATCGCTGGCAGCTGAAGTGGCCAGATCGAAAGCCAGATTGAATAGCTGCCTACTCGCACAGGCCTAATAGAGATGACTTTGTATAATTCTTTTCCACCTTTTTTAATACTTAATTTTGTCATGATGAGTTATATCCCACGCCAATAGCTGTTTCTTATTCTATGTCCAGTGTCCTATGCAATGGGGAAGTAGTCACAGTTGGGTTCTGTTACTATAATACAAATATAAACCTACAACATTTTCCATCTAGGCATGTCTCTCCTTTTCTATAGGCAAGGAAACTGAGGGGAAATGACTTGGCTGATGCTCCATGCGAAGTCATTGGCAGAGCCAGGGATAAGACCCAGATCTTACAGTGTGGTACCCTATTTACTAAACTCCTCTGTTCCAAAGGCTTTGTCCACAAAAAGAGAATGTGAAGACAGGGCTAAGCTATGACTCTTACACCTCTGTTGAGATGAGACTGGCTGAAATACTATGGGCTGCACTCTGCACAAGGACAGGTCCTGTTGGCCCTAAGTTGTATGAACCCTGGTGTAAACCTATGACTTTCAGGAATAAGTTAGTAGAAATTATTTTAATAAAGGACCCTCCACAACCAATACTTTAAATAGGTTTTATTGTTGATTTTAATAGAAAAACAAATCACAGATACAATAGCAGCAGCAGGTACCGGCTGATCAGGAATCAGTAAGAGTATCATTGTGTAGTAAAGTATGACCAAGCATGGTCTTAACTCCTATGGTATGATGCATTCTCCATCATCCTATATTGCATCCAACTAATAAGCGAAGCCACTTTCTTGAAGATTCATCACTTCTACTATGTATGGGTTGGGGCTTAATCATCATGTCTTTCATGTAATTGCTCATAGCCTAAACTGTAATTTCTGCAGTTTGGAAAGGCTGATATGATAAAAGACTCATTGCAGGTTTAGAAATTGTTTCAGTGGAGTTGGCTGGCAATTCAGCTAACTCAATGTCTAATGGTAATATGTATCTTTACTTAGGATCTGGTGGAATTTACTGGAGGAGAAATGGAGTACAGTGGCTTCAGGATCTCCGGACACACTTCTTTTCTACCCTATTATTACAATTATAGTTAATTAATTGAGCCGCTGCAGCGCCACGGACCCAGTCATGAATTAAAACCCTGCGATGCTCAGCGCTGCATGAATACAGCACAGATGGGCAGTCCACAGAGAATGTATGATCTAAGAATAAGGCAGGAGACAGCAGGCAAATACTGATGGACGGATGGAGCACTGGGCAATACGAGACAATATTGATCCATGTGACGGGCCATGGTATCTCTTCACCAGCTACCTGTTATCATGCTAAGTTTGAATGACTGACATCAGTTTAGACAGCCCTAATTTTCACCTCCCCCCAGATCTACAGCTGCAGCGCTGCAAGTTTGAAAGGATTTAGGAGATGTGAGCAGAGTTAGAGATTTAAAGCATCTTTTCACAGTTTCTTTCCAGAGTAACTTGTCTAGCCGATCATCCTCCAAGCCAGAAACCCTGTGCTAGCTAGTAACAGAACTCTAGTGCTCTATCAAAGGGAAGAACAAGTGTGTCAGGGGAAGCTGGGCAACTTCGCAAGATACCTTTATACACTGCAAGAAATGAGAGGATGAGGTAATACGAACCAAGGGACTGAGCCCTGGAGACAGGTACCCCAAATTGGCTTCTTCTTTTGAGGCTTCGGCAGCTATCTGCAGCTTACTTCTGCTGTGGTGGCCACTGGCACGGCTGCTTTTGTTGCTGCTGTTGGATGGGGGGACAGGTCTGCTGTGGCGGTGGGCACTTCACTGGTGGCTCCTTGCAGGGTGGTGGGCATGGTGGGATGATTGGAGGTTGCTTACATTGCTCCTGTTGCTGCGGTGGATACTCTGGTATCTTAATGTCTGGTGTTTTCCCTTGGCCTGGGTCTGGCACTGGAGTTGGCAGTGGCACTGGTTTTTCTGGGCAAGGCCCTGGCTTAGGGAATGGCATGGGCTCTGGCACTGGTGGCTCCTTGCAGGGTGGTGGGCATGGTGGGATGACTGGAGGCAGCTTACATTGCTGCTGTTGCTGCGGTGGACACTCTGGTATCTTAATGTCTGGTGTTTTGCCTTGGCCTGGGTCTGGCATTGGAGCTGGCAGTGGCACTGGGCAAGGCTCTGGCTCAGGGCATGGCATGGGCTTTGGCACTAGTGGCTCTTTGCAGGGTGGTGGGCATGGTGGGATGACTGGAGGCAGCTTACATTGCTGCTGTTGCTGTGGTGGACACTCTGGTATCTTAATGTCTGGTGTTTTCCCTTGGCCTGGGTCTGGCATTGGAGCTGGCAGTGGCACTGGGCAAGGCTCTGGCTCAGGGCATGGCATGGGCTTTGGCACTAGTGGCTCTTTGCAGGGTGGTGGGCATGGTGGGATGACTGGAGGCAGCTTACATTGCTGCTGTTGCTGTGGTGGACACTCTGGTATCTTAATGTCTGGTGTTTTCCCTTGGCCTGGGTCTGGCATTGGAGCTGGCAGTGGCACTGGGCAAGGCTCTGGCTCAGGGCATGGCATGGGCTCTGGCACTAGTGGCTCTTTGCAGGGTGGTGGGCATGGTGGGATGATTGGAGGTTGCTTACATTGCTCCTGTTGCTGCGGTGGACACTCTGGTATCTTAATGTCTGGTGTTTTCCCTTGTCCTGGGTCTGGCACTGGAGTTGGCAGTGGCACTGGTTTTTCTGGGCAAGGCACTGGCTCAGGGAATGGCATGGGCTCTGGCACAGGTGGCTCCTTGCAGGGTGGAGGACACGGTGGGATGATTACTGGAGGTTGCTTGCATTGCTGCTGTTGCTGCGGTGGACACTCTGGTATCTTAATGTCTGGTGTTTTCCCTTTTCCTGGCTCCGGCACTGGAACTGGCAGTGGCACTGGTTTTTCTGGGCAAGGCACTGGCTCAGGGAATGGCATGGGCTCTGGCACTGGTGGCTCCTTGCAGGGTGGTGGGCATGGTGGGATGATTGGAGGTTGCTTGCATTGCTGCTGTTGTGGCGGTGGACACTCTGGTATCTTAATGTCTGGTGTTTTTCCTGGTCCTGGCTCTGGCATTGGAGCTGGCAGTGGCACTGGATCTGGGAGTGGCACTGTGTCCTGGCCCGGGTTCTGTGGCACTTTGCACAAGGGAGGAGGCAAAGTGGTTTTCTGCTTGCACTGCATTTGGTGTGATGACATCTTGGCACGACTCAAGCTAATCTGAAAGAAATATCACGGTGCGGTTACATATGGTATGCAAATGCAGTTGGCCCAAAGGGTGCATGCAGCAGCCTTTGGAAACAACAGTTGTCAGCAAGAACAAGCTTCATATTGCCACTTTGTCTCGTGATTTTTACATGTATCCAACTGAACAATTAAATGGGAGTCAGCTCAGCTAGGTTTAATGGGAGAAATCCTGCCCTGCACTTCTCCCCATTCTGTATTTTTACCTCTTTTGAGGTTTTTCAAACTCAGACTGAAACAAAACCCAGGAGAAATCTCCCCCTCCCCAAGCTAACTACTAACATGTTACCCTGTGGAACATCTCAGTGCCCAAGAAATGGGTCCTGTTTCTCCTCTTGGTCTGGCTCTACATCTGTGTAATTACACTGAGTGCATTAGAAATCCACACTCTCTCTGGGTTTATGATGTTTTGCCTGACAGGAGAATGATACCCTTGGCATTTACAGGCTTTTATGGGAATAATTATTAGCACGAGACATGACATCAGTGATGCAAGCAGCCAAGACAGACGCTCTGCTATCTTAATCACTGGGGTTTTCCCTTTGCCTGGTTTAGCATGGGCTTTTATGGTCTCTAACATACCTAGCTCATGTGAATGAGGGCAGAAGGAATTTCTCATCTCACTTCCCAGTCCCACAATGCACCTCTACACAGATGGATGACAGGGTGTTCCCTATACCAAGCACTTGCTATCTGGCTGAAGGCAGGGCACCAGTCTCAAATAGGCCATTGGTCTTCCCCAGTGCTGGATCCTATGGGGTTGTATGTCTAAGGGCAACCTGAACATGCCAAAGAGGTTTCACACTATGAGGGTTTTTTGCTGATGTCCCTCTCTATCAACATCTCCAAAGCTACTTTATTCTTTCCATTCAACCTCCTTCTTAAAATTCAATTTTGCCATGATGCCTGCAGCAAACTGGCTCTCATAACTACTTACCATACCATCCAGGACTGTCTTCTAGTATTCCTCCCTCAGTTGCCTGACTATAAGCTCTTTAGGGTAGGAATTAATGAACGTTTTGCTCTGTTTGAACAGCTCCTAAAACCATGGTGTCCCCTTCTTAGTGCTAGCCCCAGGTATTTTCACATCTAGAGCCAAGTTAGTCACTAGTTGTGGCTTGGCTGGCATACATGATGTTAGCTATACCATGGACACATTCAATCCCTCCCCTGTGTAGCACTGGTACTTGTAAATAGGTTTAAAATAAAATCTCTACTTGTATTGAGGCTCAACATCTGTTTCTAAATAGATAGGACACTTCTTCAGTGCATCAACCCATGTTAACACCAGCACAAGAGCTACAGCTACAACAAAAACGTTTGAGTATAGTCTGACTTACCCAACTGGCCAGCAAATAGGAGTAGGAAGAGCTCGAGCAGATAGTGCAGCATTGAGGTGTGAGAACATTTATATATGTTTTCCAAGCTCCACCTCCTGGGAATGAGATGTTCATATGAATGATGATCTCACTCTTTCATAACCACCAAACGTATCTCTTTCCTCTACTGACCTGTTCTCATTCTTGGCACTGGTAGGAAACTCCCTCCCTTGATACCATTTTGCTCTTTAATCCTCTTCCTGAGTAATGCAAATGGGTAAGCTTTAGCAAAAGACATTTTTAAGTGGTTGAGAATCACCACCCCAGCACAGCTCCAGCAAAGTTAGGGTCTCACTGATGTAAGCTGAAATAGTTCCACTGAAGCTTGATGGAGCTGTTGATGCTGGAGAAGGATCCTACACTGACTATGGAGTGAGATCGATTTTCAGAAACGTGCTTCAAAGGCCACTTATGTGGCTTTTTGCTGAAGAATCCATTGATGTGATTTTGCAATAATTGTAGGTAAAAGGAAATCCGGTCCTTGGCCTTCCAAAGATAAGCTGCTTTATCCAATTATATTTGTCTATCTAGAAGAATGGAATGTAGAAGTTAAATGAGAGGCTGATAGCAACATAATAGATCATATTGCATTCTTTTGTTGAGGAATCTAAATAGATGTCACTGAACTCAGCTCTGTGTTGACTTGACTATGTTTCATAGAAGTTCCCATACAAAAGCAAAATATTCTGGCGCTATAATATTGACAAGAATGGGAGCAGAATTTCTCTCTGATGTGGAGAGTACAGGAACTGACAGTAACATATGAAGCTTATCATGATGATAACAAGAAGTTAGGCCGCTGGTTTGGGGCTTTGCAAAACATATTGGGAATGAAATGGAGGTGGATTTGGATGTCACACAGCAGAGCATATCTCTACTGACAGTTTTATGGATTGAAACAGCTTTTCTGAAAAATGGAAATCATCCTGAGACATTAATTATTAGAGCTTTTTTCATCAAAATGAATATTTCAAGGAAAAAAATGGTAAAAAGAGGAAATGTTGATTCTTTTCATTGGGTTTTTGCAGAAGGAGAATTCTTTTCCTGCCAGTTCCTCAGACCAGGCCTACACAGGACGGGATTTTGCCCCCAGCAGTACGATGGTGGTATTGCCTTTTGCAAGTCCTGGAGTGGGTGATGTGGGTGGCAGGTCTGAGTTGTGGGGCAACTTCCTCTCTCGCAATCTCGTTTATCAATTCACAGGTGGGGCAACTAGATTCTAGATAGGATGTCTCATTCCCACGGGTGACTTAATCAGTGCAATTTTCTTTCTGATTTGACAGTAGACCCTGACATCAAAGCCATGACTGGCTTGGGAACTGTGGAATTTTTCCAGCACTGAGCAAACTGGGGTCAGAAGGTTTATACATGACTTAAAGGTTGGTTGTAGCCATGTTGGTCTAAAGACATGGGCAGACCAGGTTCTTTGGGTAGATGGTAGATGTGAAATCTTTTATTAGACCAACTGACTAGTTGGAAAAAAATGTTCTTTGCAAGCTTTCAGGTACAAACACCCTTCTTCAGGCACACAGACTCTCCGTATGCCTGAAGAAGGGTATCTGTGCCGGAAAGCTTGTGAAGAACCAATTTTCCAACTATTTAGTTGATCTTATAAAAGATATCACATCTACCCAAAGAACCTTGTCTACATGACTTAAATGCACTTAAATATTCTGAGGCAGCTCTTCAGCTAATGCCAAGTGTCAGACCTCCACTGGAGTAAAATGCTAGGACGGCTGGCACCAAGGCAAGGTCTTATGCCTGGAATCAGCGTTCCCTCTAAGCTGTGCAGCATGCATGGCAGTGCAGGTGTGCTCAGGCCACACATGCCATGCAGCTTAGAGGCAACACTGCCTGGAATCACAGCAGAAAAACCTATTGTCCCCAGAGACTTATTTGTCAAACATCTGTATTCAAAGCCTGAATGCTTCAATGTGTTCAGACCCAAAGAGGAACTATCACTTTTGGAGGGATCAAGCAATCTGTGCTTTGACTATCAAGCTTCTAGCATTCATCTCCAGTATCTCAGGGTTAATGAAAAAAAAGCTTCCAGAGCAAGATGGGATAAGGTGTGGAGAAGAATTGGGGAAACTGGGGTACCCCTGAATTCTCATCCTAGTTTCAACCTTGACTTATCAGGTGGTTTGGGGTGAGTTAGCACACCTGAGTGTGCTCAGTCCTTCCCTCTGAGTGGTGGTAATTATACTGCAGTGTCTTGGCAGAGGGCATGAACAGACCTGGCAGGTAGGGCTCTGTGAAATTTTGGCAGCCGTTTCATTTCGGAGGTGTTTCAGTCCGTTTTGGCACCAGAAACACTGAATCTGAAAAGAAACAGAAGGCTCCGAAACATCTCTGAAACTAAATGAAACCTTTCAAAATATTTCAGAAATGTTTCAGATGTGTCAGAATGTTTCAGAGGCACCCCCAGGAAGAGTCCAGCACAGCCCCGCAGCCCTCCTTTTAAAGTGCTGGGAGCCTGGGGCTAGGCAGGGTATGGGGCTGGGCAGGGCAGCCATGGGGGCTTCTCCCGTGGTGCTCCCTGCTGGGGCAGAGACAGGCACAGCTGGAGGAGCCAGGAGAGAAGCCCCCATGACTGCCCTGCCTGGCCCCATTCTCCACCTGGCCCCTGCCTCCCGGCACTTAAAGAAAATAAATTAAAAAGCCCCGCACTCACTGGTTGCAGCAGTGGCAATCAGGGCCTCTGGGGGCTCATGGCAGAACCCACCACACAGTGCAGGGCAGTGGGGGGCAGCGGAGATCTCCCCTCTCGCTTGGCACCTGCACCACAGCTGCCCCATGGTGTGGTTGCAGTGTGGCTTGTCAGGGCACTGCATGCTGTCTGGGAGCTGGGGCAGCTCCAGCAGTCAGCCGGAGCCCAGCACCACTCAGTCCCAGTGGTCCCAGCTCCCAGACAGCATGCAATGGCCTGCTAAGCTGTGCAGCACCCACACAATGGGACAGCTGCTGCATGGGTGCCAGGTGGGAGTGTGTTCCCTCTGCCCCCCACTGCCCCATGTTGCACGGAGGGGTTTTGCCATGAGCCCTCAGAGGCCCTCATCACTGCTGTTGCAGCTGGTGAGTGCGGAGCTTTTTTTCCTCTTTTTTTTAAAGTGCTGGGAGGCTGGGGCTGGGTAGGAGATGGGACTGGGCAAGGCAGCCATGGTGGCTTCTCCTGAAGCTCCCCCTGCCCAGGGAGGGGAAAGCACAGCTGGAGGAGCCGTGGGAGAACCTGAGGCCATCCGGCTGTGCTTGCCTCTCCCCAGCCAATCCGAATCTCCAAATCAGTGCTGAGACAGCGTTGAAACTCCCAAACAGATTTGGCCAAATCAAAATGGAAGAGTGATCTGAAACATTGAAACAAATCACTGTCCTCTGAAATGGCTGAATCCAAAACAAAATATAGCTGTTTTGCACAGCCCTACTGGCAGGGAAAATGGTAAAGATTTATAATAAGAACTTTTCAGGTTTTTTCACAAGAAAAATGTCCAGATTAAAAAGAATAAAAAATAGCAACAGTGCAAGCAGAACTTTGGGGTAATTTTTAAAGTTTTGCAATTTTTAGCCCAGTTCAATTCATTTGTGAGGGTGTCTGAAAAGCATTGAACCATGGGCACTCTCCAAGGAAGAAATCAGAAGCAAATATGCAGATGACTATGAATTAATTCACTTTGACTTTTTTCCTGATGTAAACCCTCCCAACCCCTCCCCTCCCCCCCCCAAAAAAAAACTTACAAGGATTAACTGCTTTTTCCTTCATATATAAATTCTATTACATGTTATATATCATATTTTACATGACATGTATTATATATAGAATATATAGAAGGAATTTATTCCTTTATATATAAATTTTCTTAACAGTCTCCCATGACTATTTTATGAGACAAATCTTATACGCGGTGAAGCCAGCCTTAAGGAAGTGTTGGAGGAATGGTGAAAAACTGTCACACAAGGTGAGGGGACCTCATGTGAAGCTGTCCCAGCTGAGAACAATTTGAGATCGCTTTATTAAGATTAAGATTTGATTCTGCTTCTAATCCATGAAATTAAATGGACTTCATGCACCCTGGTGTCAGGAAAAGCCAGGCCAGTTCCAGGCAGAAGAGGTATTTTTGTCTGTTAATAGTGGTTTAAAGGTAAAATATTGAGGCCAGGATTGCATTGTGCTAGGAACGGCACAAACCACACAAGAAGCTCCAATGAGTTTATTGGACAGGCTCTGATTGGGAGGAAAGGAGACTCACTCTCCTGGTTTTGCAAATTAGGGGCTTGAAAGCCCAGGAAAATTAAAAATCCTGCCCAAGGGCACACAAGGGAGTCAGGGAATCCTACCCACCTCCCCTCTCTAGTGCAGGGGCTTACACACCTCCCCTGTCTCTTGGGGCACTTGTACACATTATGCGTTGGTGCACGTCTCACCCATCATCCAAAATTGCTTTGATTGAAACTGCAGCCCCATGAACTTTGTGCCTCAAAGCAGAGTCAAAAAGAGATTAAAACTGAGCTGTCTTGTTTGGACCCACACCTTGCTTTGTCATGTGCTTTGTTCTCCAGCTTTTTATCCCGAAGAACGTGCTTTGTTCAGTAGGAGTCATCATACAAAGGCAGTTTCACCTTCTTGCTTTTTTATTGTTGCTGCAGCAATGACTTATGCTGAGATGCCAACATTTGTGAATCATCTCTGCCAGGCCCTGGCTACTCACTCTGGTGCAGCTGGTTCTCCATCCTTACCAGCCCCAGATGTGATAATTCAGTGGAGAGACACACTTGGTAGGGTGGCTTCTAGGCTGCCTAATTCTTGTGGAAACCACCCAGAACTTAACCGAGGGAATGTTCAATACAAACAGATTTTTCTTTCCCCACTGTCCAATACCTTCTTTTATTTCCTTTCCTTAGGAATTTGAAAACCCTCCTCTCTCCAGACTGAAAGAGTGGGGAATGTGGTTACAACAAAGGAGCTATTGAATAATTGGAGGTCTGGAAAGCCTG